CCTGAGCCTCAGTGCAGTCAAATCCAGACTCACAAAACTCTCTCTTTTCAAATTTTTTTTGTTTTGTTTTTAAATCCTTTTCAGATAGGAGGAAGGCAGAAGTACTACTGTGCAGGGCTTCATAAAATAAAAATTATGGAGGCCCTTCAGTGGTACGGCGCATGATGAGTAAAGGTAAGATAGTCATCAGAGACCTGGAATACCAAAAGTCTCATTCAGGATAGATTACGAAGAAAGAATGTGATCAGGAAAAGAAATTCTGATTTAGAGCCAGAAGTTTGGGTGCTCGTACGGCCTCTTAGAAGCTATTTCATCTCGGGGCAGCCGCTTTATCTTTCCAGGCCTCTGCCTCCTTATCCATAAAAGAAAATGATTGAACCAGGAAAGGGATGGCAGGTGAGTTTCCCTTTTAGCTGCTAAGCCTGATGTATTGGGAGTGACTTCCTGGAGGATGTGTTTGAGAACGCCAGGCTCAGTGGCAGAGGGACGTGATTGATTCGTGGCATCTGCCACAGGGTGTTCAGGTCCTATATTCACCATATCGGGATGAGATCCGCTCACTTCCCTTGCACCCCTGAACATGCCACTGTCCCTTGTTTCTTTGAAATCTAAGACGTTTGTCTGTACTGTCAAAAGTCATGCTCTTGGGGCTGGAATTAGAATGCATGGTTGCCCCCCTGTCACAGGATCATATCCAGCATTGCAGGATGTGATCCTGTGACCCAGCCTCACTGGCTGTGATCTGAGCACTGCCAGGGTGACCCTGGTGGTCCCTAACTCTGCAGGGCACAAGCATTCTCAGGCCCTAGCATTGAACCGCCAGGCCTGGTTGGCCGAGTATCCTTGGGAGTGGCCCCCAGGTCCCCTGAGCACTGTTTGGGAGCCCCCTGAGCACATTCCCCAGCCAGAGGAGCAGGCTGGACCTTTTTCTGGTTATACTTAAAGAAAAATATCTGGGGCCAGGGAGCTCGCTTGGTGGTGGGGGCACATGCTGAGTATGCAGGGGCCCCTGTTCTCTCCCCAGCCCCTTGCCCCCGCAGGAAGGACCCTCAAGCACCCCAGCACCGCAGGGCGTAACCCTCCCTCCAAACAGTCCTGCACAGGGAAGGAGGGCTCAGGTGTAGAGAAGCAGCCTCGAGCCTGATCGTGGGGTGTTTTGATGGGAATTCCTGAGGGATTGTTGCAGATGATTACAAGATGACAACTAAAATTCTTAAAACTCAATGGATAATAAATTATGTTATGAAATTATTCAGTCTGGAGTGAGAAGGGGGAAGAAAGAATAGAAAAGAAACAGGCATAGATGCCTTTGCCCACGGTTCATTTTAAATAGCTACATGGTACATGGCAGGTCTGACCACAAGAGCTTGTCGTGGTAGAAGTTGAGCTGGGAATTCACTTGGCAACTTTGGAATCTACCAGAGTTCAATACAATGCAACCCTTCCAGAATTACGAAAATGCACGTATTGTATCTTATTTAATCTCTGTGGGTTGTTTTGTTTTGTTTTGTTTTTAGCACAATGCCTGAAACATAGTAGGTGTAAAATATCTGTTGATGGCATGAATGTGTTGGTCTATATAACTAGCTTCCGTCTCAACGTTACGGAAGAAATTTGCGTGTCGATAAAATTAAAAGTTAGAAGTTGCAGAGATTTTGAGCTTTCCCTCATTTCTATACAGTACTTCATCACATTAATCAGTTCCATGGGAGAAATTTTGTGTTTGAAAATGCCTCTCATCATCATTGTGAGTGAAATGTCAGAGATAATGATGGGAAAATGGTGTATCAGCTCTACTACTAGTGATATGCAATTTGCAAAATTGTGTTTGCTTTATAGCACTTCCATAGGAGGTTTATTTGTGTGGAGGAAGCTATGAAATATGGATGTATGTTAGAGGTACATTAATTTACCCTAGCAGCATGCATTTTACATACCATATGTTTATAGTTAATTAGCACAACAAACCCGCATTTAAAAATAATAATAATCTCAATTAGGTTATGCAAAATCAAGCAATCAACCACCTTCCTGACACATACATTCTCTGACTCCTTGGGTAACCATAAAGAAATTGTTCCCTTTTTTTTCCATCTTCCATCTGCCATCTATTATATTGCTTGGAATATTCCATTTGCTAGAAAGCATTTGAAGACACTTTTCCCCTGCATTTGGAAATCTTTGTAAGATTCTCTTGGGAAGAGTTTTCTTCTTATGACATTCATAAATGTTCATAATGTCTTTGTTGAAAGTAATACATATATTTATTGATATACGTAGAGGAGCACATTAAGAAAAAATTATGAATTTAACTCACTTAAAACGAGTAACGCTTAAGGTGCTATTTTAAGGTGATTTTTGAAGTAAAAATCTCCTTTTGTATGGGAGCCTCTAATCGGTAACATCTATTCATAGAATTTTAAAGTTGGAAAGGAACATGGAGGTAACCTAGGCAAACTTCCCACTGCAATCATCGTCACACTAAATTCATGACAAGAAGCCATCTAGCCTCACTCGAACGCTTTCAGTGAGCAGAATCCTACAGCCTTACAAGGCAACTCAATTTATTTAATAGCTCTAATCGTTAGAAAATTTTCTCATATTGAGATAAAATATGCTCCCTATTAACTTCTAACCATTGGTCCCACTTCTGTTCTCCCAAGCAATAAAGGAGAATTCTAATTTCTATTCCACGTGACACCCCTTCAGGGATAAAGTAGCTCTCAGGTCCTCCCCATCTTCTCTTTGCTGAATAGACACCCCCAATATGTTAAACTCAGAATTCTCTTCTTTCCCCATGATTTGTTAATGGAAATGAGCTGAATTTATTGTTCTCTCTCTCACTCCACCTGGAACCTGAGTTCTGCCTTGTCAGGCTGGCTCTGCGGGAGAGGCTGGCTCACAGCTCACCTGGACCGGAGGGTTTCTCACACTGCCCTCAGTTGACTGGGTCTCCTCCTCGACCTCTCCCCTACGGAGGATGCTGGCTCATTGTTTTCGGATTTGTTCACCTGTAAATCTGGGAACCACATTGGCGTGGCCATGGGGAGCACAGGAATCTCCCCTTCATGGCCTCTCTCTCCATTGTCTGAGGTGGAGAGGATCTGACACTTCGGAACTGGCTCAGTGAATCACGAGTCTGTAAGCCAGCAAGACTGTCAGTCTTAAGTGTGGTCTCGCTCAGACCCTCATTATTACCCTCATTGGGAAAACGGGGGCTCACTGGTAGTGATCTCAGAAAGATATCCAGGTATTTTTGTGAGTCATCTAAAATCTTGGTTCTCAAAGTTTAGTACACACGAGGGCTTGTTAAGAACACAGGCTGCTGGACCTGACTCCCAGAGCTTCTGTTCTGTTAGATCCTAAGAGGAGCAAGAATTTCCTTTTTTTCTGCTTTAGGGGAGCACTCAAGAGTCTGGAATCCACTTGTGGCAATAGTCAACCAACTGGGCTGGACGGTTCAGTGCTCAGGTCATGGATGTGGGGTGCTGAAGAGCTCCGGTGCCACTCCCAGGTTGCTTGAGAACCCCCAAAGCAGTCTCTGGCAGTGCTTAGCAGGCCCTCATGGTCAGGGAGCGAACGTGAGTTTCTGAGTATCCACCCCTCACCCTTAGCTATCTCCCTGGCCCCAAGAATGATGCTTTTTTTTTTCTTTTTGGGTCACACCCAGAGATGCTCAGGGATTACTCCTGGCTCTGTACTCAGGAATTACTCATGGTGGTGCTCAGGGGACCATATGGAATGCTGGGAATCGGATCCAGGTCGGCCACAAGCAAGGCAAATGCTCTACCCGCTATGCTATCGCTTCAGCCCCAAATGATGCTTTTCTAATGAGATCGTGGATGGTGATATTACTGATGCAGATCCATACTTTCAGAGTTACTGATCTAATGAAAGAGTGGATTTAGACTAGATGGGTTCACAATGGGCTTAAAAGCAAATTTAGACTACAGGTGCATGAAAAGATGGTTTGAGAAGACAGGAGCAGGAAGCTAATGGAAATCACACCTGTTGGTTGCATTTCCTTTCCAGCTCATGCTGGAACTGGGAGTTGAGTTAAGGATCTTGAGGAGAGAGAGAGGTAAATGCTTGAAACCTTCATGGAGGGAACAGGAGGTGGGAACCTCAGTTATAGTTGTTACACACTCCATCTTTCTGTCTCTGCCAAAAGCCAGGCACTGAGTGAGTGTTTCACGTCCTTCGTTGTGCCTTTCATTGTGACCTCTCCAAGTATCAGTCTCTGTTCCAGATGAGAACTAGGTCCCCCCTGTCTCAGCTCCTGTAACAGCTGCATGGCAGTGCCACTGGCCAAGCTATGAGCCCTGGCCTCTGCCGGAATGTGAGGGTGAAACCATTCTACCATGATGGTGCTAAGTGGTGGCTGTGCTCAGGTCTCGCGAGTAGAGGTCTAGAATGTAGTGACTTTCATCTGTGACAATGAAAAGCCCCAGCCAAGGTGGCACACAGCTGCAGAGGTCGGTTTTTTTTTTTTTAACCCTGAGAGCGCATTCTTCATTAGGTGATAGCTTTTCCTGTGAAGTCTATTGTATTGAAAAACAGCGCTATTCTCTTGATAGGGAACATGAATCCCTTTCTTATGATTTTTTTAAAGGGTTTTTTTGGAGGGGGGGACCTTAGGGGGCACACCTGGCAATGCCCAGGGATTACACTGGCTCTGTACTCAGGAACCACTCCTAGCAGTGCTCAGAGGACCTCATGGGATGCTGGAGATCGAACCCGGCTGCTTGCAAAGCAAATACCTTATCTGCGGCACTCTTACCCTTGCTCCATGAGTGCCTTTTAATAATGAAATCGCACTGCTAGAGAAACCTTCCTGAGACTTGATGGGTAAACAAACTCTGGCTTTTAATAAGTTCATATTAAATATGTTGGTTTGTGTTCTGACACCAGTTTTGTTCACTTATTGATAAAGAATCTTCAGGAATATTTACTCATTTGAGGAAATTTTCTATTTTAAAACGTTTGCTCTAACTTTCTAGGTGGATTATGATAATCACGCTCTCTATAAACATGGGAAGAGAGGCCGCAAACAGTCCCCCGTGCGGATCTTCACCAATGTTCCTGCCAGCAGGATAACCCTGCCTGAGGAAGAAGGGTACAGGTGAGCAGGACAACCCTGCCTGAGGAAGAAGGGTACAGGCGCGTGCTCAGGCTTCATCAGGCCAGGGCTGAGCCCTAAGGGCACGTCATGCTTTCAGCACTGACTCCGGTCGTCCTTCTCTTGCGTTTCCAATGGGACCGTGTCTTCTGTGGATCTGTCCCCGACAAGTACCTTGTGGACTCTGGTCTGCCGCTGAGCCTTGGCAGGAATGCGCTCCTGATTTCTTTCTTTCCTCCTTAGATTTTGCCCTCTATGCCAACGATACGTTTCTCTCGAGAATCAGCACTGCGAGCACTGTGGTTCTTGCACATCCAAGGTACAGTTTTCTTTGAATGCGTTCGTACTCAAGTGTCTTCCTTTAGTTCACTAGTTCCGTTGTTTGTGTAATCATAATTTCTTCCCTTTTTTTCCCCAGTTTTGGGCTATACCTGCAGTGCTCTGTGCTCAGGGATTGCTCCTGATGGGGTTTGGGGGAACTGCATAGAGTGCTGGGGGTTGAATCCAGGTCAGCTGTGTGCAAGGCAAGCGCCTTCCCCACTGAGAGAGAGTTGGGCAGGGAGAGAAGAAAAGCGCCTGTCATAGAGGCAGGCGGGGAGTGGGGTGGAGGGTGATGGGAGGGACCTGGGGACGCTGGTGCTGGGAAATGTACACTGGTGGAAGGATGGGTGTTGGAAAGCGTGTGACTGAAGTCCAATCATGAATAGCTTTATAAGAGTCTATCTCACAGTGATTCAGTGAAAAAGTAAAAAAAAAAAAGTCCTGCCCCATAATGGTATTTTCTTAATGTTATAATTTGTATTAATGTGTCATTCTTTATTAATTATATTTTAATACAGTATTTTATTTCTAATTACAAAGTACAACTTCCAAAAATATTTAGCTGCCGCCATCATCATTAACAATGACTTGAATTTATTTTTATGTGCTATTGAATGACAGCTAACTAACTACCACACATTTCAAATAAAGCACTGTGAATGAATGCATCATTCGGTTGAGGTCATAGTAGAGATGTTCGGAGCTGGGGGCGTAGCTCACAAGGTCAGCATGAGCCCCGAGTTCACTCTCCATTGCTGCATGATCCCCAAACCACCTGGCACAAATCATGAGCACCATGCCAGAAATAGCCCCCCCCCCAAAAAAACAACTTCAGATAAGGCATTGAATTAGTAGATGTCCTCGTTCTGAGTTCTTGGGAGAACTCGGGATTAGCATACACCATGCACTTTCTGTGGGTGAGTGCTTTCCCAGGAGCTGTAGCTAAGTTTTACTTTTAATGACAGTAACCCCTCAGATAACATTTATTGTCGGTTTATTCAGAGGTTATCTGTACTCCTTGTTGAAACATTATGCACAGCTTGTGAAAGGCTCGAAATAAGGAAGTCAGAATTTTATTACTTAGAGATGTACACGTTGGCGCAGTCAGAATGAATGAAAGCAAGGAGGGGCAGACCATCACAACAACCAGAATAGGTGCTGCTAGGTACGGAAGGAGGAATGCTGATTTAAGCAGGGATAAGGGCTGGAGGGTTATTAGAAGGTAGGGTGCTTGCCTTGCATGCAGCCGGTCCAGGTGTGATCCTCAGCATCCCGGATAGTCCCCTGGGCACTGCCACTGCCAGGGGTAATTCCTGAGTGCAGGGCCAAGAGTAAGCCCTGAGCACCAAAAAACAAAATTACAAATTGTTTTTTAAAAAAAGACATATCTTGAAGCTGCTGATACTCTTTTTTTTTTTTAACCTATTTGGGTTTGCCATTATTTACTTTATAAAAATTCCTCAAGCTGGACACACATATGTTTTGTACACTTTTGAGGAATTTGTTTTTCCTGGTTCTGAAATTACCCAAATTTTAAACTATTGTTTCTTTCTTCCTAATTCTGTGAACTTTTTTAAGTAATGAATTTTGTTAAGGTTCATGCCAGATAGGCACTTGGAGATTATGAATCAGTGATTCTCCTGAAATATGCATTGAGTCCTTTGTAAAGACTGGGTTGCCTGAACTGGAGAGGGACTTTTGGGATCATATGGATAAATCCCCTGGTTGTGGAGTTAAGGAAACGGGGCCTGTGAGGCAGGCGTTTTTGTTGAGTGGAGAAATGCATAAATTAAAATCCAAGTATTTAATTGTGAAGCCCAGGAAAGTGAGAAATAAGGGAATGAATAATTTACCTAGATTTTAATAAGACATTTTAATTTTTAATTGTGCATCTTGATTTTCAATGACAAATTCAACATAATTTAAAAATTGTTTTTGTAGGATGGCAGGAAATGGCGCCATTGCCTGCTCTGTAGAAAGTGTGTCAAACCTTGTAAGTATTTAGCCAGTGTTTGAGAGTGTATGAAAACATTTTTAGAGTTTTTCTACAACTCAGTGGGATTTATGGTTAATTATATTTCTATAAGAGGGACCTACACTAATTTACTTGCTTTAAAATTTTTAGTTACTGAAGTGGACATACTCCCCTTCATTGACAAGGCTGTTTCATGTCTATTCCGTGTGGTGTTTTGTCTGACTCGTTTAAAAATTTAGTTTCTCTGTTTGCTTTGGGACTATACCTGGAGGTCCTCAGGGCTTAGTCCTGACTCTGTACTCAGGGATCACTGGTGTTGGGCTCTTGGAATCAAGTGCCATGCCAGGGATTGGTCCTGGATCAGCCGCATGCAAGGCAAGCGCCCTCCCTGCTATACCATTGCTCCAACCTCTGGTTTGACGGATTTTAAGGGGCTTTATGTCCCCCCAGCCAGCTGCGCTGTGTGGTACAGAACACACTGGGAAGGGGCTGGATTTGTTGCCACGTGTCAAAGTGGTGGGGGTCTAACCCCTTAACATGAGCCTCTTGAGCGAAATGTTGACTTGCCAACACTTGGCTCTCCCCATCTTGAAAGCTGGCCAGATGAGAAGCATATTCAGTGAACCCCTTCTCAAACAGAGCTTTTGTGCTTTCACAGCCTGGATACACTGCAGCATTTGCAACCTCTGTGCTCTTCCAGAACATTCCTGTGAAGGCCCGAAAGATGGCTGCTTCATCTGTGGTGAATTAGGTCATAAACGGAGTGCCTGTCCAAATGTAGGTGGAGCACGGAAGCCTGACAGGTTGGTGGCGTTACTGTTACTGTCTAGGACCGAGTTCTGTGAGCTTTCTGGAGCCATCCGCAAAAGTAGGATTCAGAACTGCAAAATCTATGGTGGCCTTCACTGGGCACTCTTGATTGCACAGGTGTGAGTCGTGGGGTTTGGAATATAAAGTAGAACTCACTCGAATTTTTGTATTCTATGGTACATGCGAAGTTAGAATTTGTGGGGTCCTTTTGGAGGGGACAGCTGGGATGTAGACTGTGATGGTCAGGAGCAAGAATGGAGTCAGTGCAGCCGGAATTCTGCAGTGCACAGCGGAGGAACAAGTCTCCAGGTCAGACTTTGGGAGAAAACACTTAAACGTACTTAACATTTCTATAACCAAAGCCTAATCTGACTCCTACTCTTCTCCATTAATATTGGGTACTAGTTATAACTTAGAGCAATGACAGTAGCCCATTTTAGAAAAACATTATTTCAACTGCATTCATCATTTAAATGATTACATTTTTCTTCTTCTTCTTCTTTTTAATGAAGGGGATGCTAGGTATTGATTCCTCTGCCTTTATTGACTTGAAAACCAGATAGCCAGAATTTCACATTACATGAAAATTGAAATGGGGATAAACGTTTGAGCTATTGCGACTGGAGAGACAAATCAGGCTGGGGTGTATCTGGGCGCCCTCGGTTTGGTTGACGGTGGTCCCGGGAGTTTCTGAGCACCACTAGAGGTGACCCCTCTACATTTAAAAGAATTTTTTTAATCGAATCACTCTGAGGTAGAACTTTACAAAGCTGTTCATGCTTGGATTTCAGTCATACAGTGTTCCGACACCCATCCCTCCACCAGTGTACATTTCCCAGCACCAGTGTCCCCAGGTTCCCTCCCATCACCCCGCACCCCGTCCCTCAACATTTTTTGTGCTATTATTATATGACTTGAGATGGGGAAAAAGTTGGGGAGGATATATCTTCTGTATTAGTAACTATGATTGTATTAGAATTCCTTTCCTTTTATATTGGTCAGTAAAAATTATTTTTTACAAGCTATTTGACTTCTGGGTACTATGTAAACTACCTTTTCTGCTACTTTTTACTATATTTACTTTATTTATTTATTTATTTATTTTTGACTTTTTGGGTCACACGTGGCGATGCACAGGGGTTACTCCTGGCTCTGCACTCAGGAATTACCCCGGCGATGCTCAGAAGACCATATGGGATGCTGGCAATCGAACCCGGGTTGGCCGGGTGCAAGGCAAACACCCTACCTGCTGTGCTATTGCTCCAGCCCCCTATTATATGTACCTTAGAAAATGATTTCCTCTAATGATTGAGGATGAGGTAGGATTTTAAAATTTATTTAATGAGAGGCCAGAGTGATGACAGCAGGTAGGGAAGGCATTTGCTTTGCACACGGCCAACCCAGATTCGATTTCTGGCATCCCATTTGGTCTGAGCACTGCAAGAGTGATCTTGAAGCACAGAGCCAGGAAGCCCTGAGCATCACTGGGTCTGACCCCCCCAAAAAAATTATTTAAAGAGGAGCATTGAAGAATATTACAAAAATATCTTTTCTTAGGAAATGAATGTACTATAGTAGACTGCGAGTCTGAGGTTATGACATCATTTACACTCATTCGTAGTGCAGATGGGAGATGGGAGAGTGCTCATCCATTCATTCCGTGATCTTAGGATACTTGGGTGTCCAATTTGCATTTTGATAATATATCTAGGGTCTTAGCGGTTCTTAAATAGCCCTGCTAGCCTGTTTAATAGTAATTTATTGTCTTCATTGAGGGAAATCATCTATTATCTTACAGTACTAGATTTAATCAAATTTAATTCAAACAGCAAATCTCTTAGGATGTGGTCTAGCTGATAATTCTTCAGGAGTGGTGCTGTCTTCTCTCAGAGAGGCGTCCTAAACTCTAGTCAACAGTGATCTCACGGTGTTGCTTTCTGAACATTTTTGTAATAAAATTGACAAGGAAAAATTTTCTTTACAATAGTAAATCATTTTAATAGCCTCTTTAGCATATACCCATTTTTATTTTTGTTATGGCTGTCATATTAATTTTTCTTTAGCAATAATTTTCCTTTGGCCTTGAACTGGAATGATGCTAGCTCCCTCTTGTGGTTAAAGCTTGTTTTATCAGTTATATAAATGCCTGGAATTTAGAGGACAAATCTTAGGTCAGGTGAGTGAGAAACAGAGAAAGAGATTGAATCATACTCTACCACTGTTATATTACCAACCCCAGGTCACTTTAATTTGAAGTAAAAATAAAATAATTATTGAATTTATACCAAATCGGTTTATCATAACCATCTCTGAAAAGAGATGGTTGGTTTGTTTATATTACAAATGAATATTCTTCTGTTATTGTTTACTTATCATCTAGTGAAATCTGGTTCATGTTTTACCCTCATGAGTGGAAAGAAAACTTAATTTTTGTATAAAGGCACACATAGCTTCATTAGCTTTGTAATCAAGAGATTATACTTCAGTAAACTTGCTAAAGTATTGCCAGAGCATTATACCACTTCTTAAAAATTGACCAGCGGGGCTGGAGCAATAGCACAGCTGGTAGGGCGTTTGCCTTGCAAGTGGCCACCTGGGTTCATTTCCCAGTATTCCATATGGTCCCCTGAGCACCGCCAGGGGTGATTCCTGAGTGTAGAGCCAGGAGTAACCCTTGTGCATCACCGGGTGTGACCCAAAAAGCAAAAAAAAAAAAAATTGACCAGAGAAGGAACTGGAGAGTTAGTACAGTGGGGTAGGCATTTGCCTTGCATGCAGCTGACCCAAGTTCGATTCATGCCTCCCCATATGGTTCCTTGAACACTGCCAGGAGTATTCCTGAGTGTAGAGCCAGGAGTAAGCCCTGAGCATTGCCAGGTCTGGCCAAACCCTCCCCATCCCCCAATAATAATAATAATAAAGTAATGATTTTTTTAAATTACTATTTATTTATTGAATCGCCGTGAGAACAGTTACAAAGCTTTCAGGTTTAAGTCTCAGTCACAATGATCAAACACCCATCCCTCCACCAGTGCACATTTTCCACCACCAAGAACCCCAATATACCCCTCATGCCACCCCTCCCCCTGCCTGTGAGGCAGATGATTTCCACTTCACTCTCTCTCTCTGCTTTGATTACATTCATTATTTTGACAAAAGATGCACCATTATTATTTGGAATTTCCCCCCAACAATTAGACCTGCTGAAAAGGCACTGTTAAATAATTTGTTTTCTATTGCTTGTTATGAAGTGCATATTATGTCAGGCGCTAGTGATTTAGGATTTCCGATATTTTACTAATTCAGTCTGGAGGAATTTCTCCCAAAAGCCACTGGGTTCTGAATTTGTGCCTCTGGGGCCATGGCTGTGCCGGAGAGCTGCTCGTGGAGGGCAACTTGTGGTCTCAGCCGGGCAGGAAGGACGGGCCAGAAAAAAGTAGTAATTTTTTAAAATTGACAGACGAAACACCTTATATCACAATGCCACATGCCCCCATGTGACTTGTAGATGACTCCTGTGGCCCAGTAGGGCCCTGATGTGGCTCAGGAGCCTGGTATATGTGAGGGCGGGGGCTCGAGCCTGGCACCTAAAGAAAACAAAAGCCTGCTGAAAAGGGCTGGTATGTTTTATTTTTTTGTTTTGAACCGACAGAATATCTGAGGTCATTGTATAAAATCTAACTATGGAAAAATGTGAAGTTGGCAAGAGGAATTCTGAGTAAGGGTGTATGGGGCTAATGGTACTAATGGATTTGGTGATTTCCATTGCTCAGCATTTTACCGGCTGGATCCTAACGGGTTGAGCACAGTGCGGAGAAGGTGGGATCGAAGGCTCTGGAAGCAGGGTTCCTGCCACCTCCTCTCTTAGGATTTCATGGTCGAAGCTTATTCTGAAAAGAACCGGGGCATTGGCGGCAAGGAAAAGGGAAGGTCCCAGCTCTTGGTTCCAGTGCCCGACCTCATGAAGCCCACGGTCACGAAACGGGCAGCAAGTGAGGCCGAGCTTCAGGCACTGGGCTGCGCGCCTATTCACGTGTGCCTTTCTGAGGTGTGGGTCCTGGGAAGGTCAAGAGCGAGATGTGGGGTTTGGGCGCTTGCCGGCTCACCGTTCATGGACATTTCCACCCTTGCCCACTCATAGCCCAGCCGTTCCTTGGTCGTATTAGGATCCTGGGCACTGTCTCCGGCCCAGAGCAGTGAGTGAATCCATCAGCGTTCTCAGTGGCAGATTCCCCACGTCTCGCCTCAGAGCCAGAAGCCAAAGGCCTGGTTTGGGTTTGGTTTGTTTTTTGTAGTGAAACGTTTGGCTTTAAAGGGTAAGTTCCAACTGTCTGTTTCCAAGCTAGCGTTGGCAAAGGCAGGGGTCACGAAGGACATGTAGCGTGGAGCACTTGACCGCACTCCAGACCCTAAGGAGAGGACCTGAGCTGGGAGCCTCTGTAAGCTGGGCCACGGGAAGAGAGTTTTGTTGAGGATAGCGTGAGAGTTGCAGGGTTTGGGCCAAACCCACCTGCTCGGAGGTTTTTCTTGGCGGTGCTTGAGGGACCATACATGGTGCGAACTGAGGTCGCAGGATGCAAGTCAGATCGCTTCATCACTGCACTTTCTCTCATGGCCAGAGAGATTTTTGGTTTTTTGGTAGTGCGAGGGATTAAACCCAGGATCTCATGCATGAAGATGGGCCTCTTCAAATGGAATGTTTTTCCCATTGTTCTATTTCATTTTTTTGACCTCTGCTAACTGCCAAATCTATTAATTCTTTTTCTGGAAAATGTAATTCAGGGATTTGGAGATTGAAGTGCTGAGTCGGGAAGTGTGTGTGTGTGTGTGTGTGTGTGTGTGTGTGTGTAAAATACGTGATATATATGTATATATTTCCAAAATAAAACCGTCCCAGCTTATTCTTTGACTGTCTGCCTGTATGGTGGGTTTGTCCCAAATAGATTGCCCTAAATCTGTAGTTGCCATCTTTCAAAGAAATTTCTTCTCTCAAACATTTTGCTTGGTCAGGCCTCTGACTGTTTCCGTGTTATTATGGTGAGGAGCCTGAGGATTTATGCTCATAATCCCGTAAATTCTTTCCCTTCTGTTTTCTTATTTGGATAGCCAGTTAATTAAACTTCAACATAATTACATAATTCACTGTGCTCATTCTACAAAATAATTTAGCACCTTGTTTTTCAGAGCTGTCAGGAAGCAGAAGCAAAGGAAAAGTAATAAGATGAAAATGGAGACCACTAAAGGACACCCCATGAATCATACATCCGTTCCCAGGAAAAAGCAAAGGCGAGAAAGAGCCCATCAATAGCTCTGCTCTTAAATGTCCAGTGACTGGAGAATAAGAAAGATTTATAGTCCAACCTTTGATGCCATTTTCTGAAAGTGCCACACTGGACTTAAATTCCGTCGCTTTCAAAGGCATGCACCTTTCCGGGCTAGATAATAGGCAGGTGGTATTTGCGGGGGTCACGGACCCTCAGCCCCCTCGCTGAGGCCTGGGGCGGTCCTCCGTGCCGAGCTGGCTTTCCGGCTCTCTCTGTGCCTTTTATCTCGCTCCGAGTCTCCTCCAGCCGCACTCGGAGCCTCTCTGATCGGAAAACGGGCATGTGGCATTCTTTCCCAGCGTCAGAAGCAAATGAAAGCAAGGACCTGAGGTTCTGTTTACGTTGACCCTAAGACCGTGTTACGTTCAACAGATGTTTTAGGGTTCAGTGTTAAAATACTGCCGATGACTTAACCATGCCTCCTGGAAGGAGACGTTCATGGTGATTATTTATAGGCACAGTCTGAAGATGCTGCAAAGAATTTTGACCACGGCCATCAGCGATCTAAGATTCTAATTATGGTGACATTATTATTAAGTACATTTGCTTCAGCTATGCCTTGCAGGTGCCCTTGGATGCTGTGGCGTCACTTAGGGGTTGTCCAGTGAGTGATGTCTGCAGAATTAAGACGTGCTTTGCCATCTCAGTGTCTGCTCATCGAGGTGTCCTTTTCTCTCCGGGAACGTGGTGAACGAAGACGCATCTGTTGATTGGAGACCCCCCTTCCTTCTCACACTCAGACTTCCTGCCATGTGTCCCAGGCCACATTCTCTAAGAGCTTCTGCTGCTTCGTGGTGGTGATGGGAATAATAATAGCTGCTTCTCCGATATGTTTCTGTGACTTGCGTTATAGTGGGGCACATGTACCCGGACCTCCTTTCTCCTGTCACTGGTGACTCGTGTTGACAGAAATGCTGACAGAGAATGCAGATGGCCAGAGCTCAGGGTCCTCATCTCATGGTCCACACAGCACTAACAGGAGAGCTTGGATGGGAACAGACGACATCTTCCTGCTTCTCCACTGAAGCGCCCCTTCAGATGGAATCATTTTGATCGGTTCATATTTTTGTTTTGTTTTTACCTCGTGTATTCTTCGTTTTCTTTTCCTGTACATATGTCGTTAAGTTATACTTTGCTACTTCTTTTTTTTGGAGTTTTTTTTAAAATTCTGTTTATAAATTTAAAAACAATTGTTTGACATTCTGATTTCTGGTTCTGTTTTTAAACCTGTGATGATAAAGAGTTGTCTTTGTAGTGGAGACTCTTTTTTCTTTTTTTATGTTGAATTTCGGCTTTGTATGGGATTATTTGTATCTTATATCCTCTCTTTTTAAAAATTAATTTATTTTACAGGCATGAAATTTCTTCCCTTTCATATCTTATTTCCCACTCATTTGTTCCCCTCCTTTTTCTCAGGTCACTTGAGCTCTGTTATCAGTGTTGACTAATTTGTCTTTTTGATTTTGTTTTGTTTGCTCATCAATTTTGTATCCTTATATGGCACACATTTGTGAAATTGAGATAACACCTCCACAACACAGATGATTAAAAGCTAAAATCCTGAAATACCACAAAATTGTAAATCAGTGATAAGTTGAAAAAAAATTTTTTTCCAAAACTGTTCTTTTTTTGTAGGTATATAAATTTAAAAAAAATAACAGTATGAATAATTATGTGCTAATATATTTTACATTTAATGTGAAATAGATAATCCTAAAAATACATAACTTAGAGTGAGGAGAGGAGAATTAAGGAAATTTTAAGGGAAAATCTGAATTGGTCTATCACTGTCACTGACAGTGACAGTAAGAGTGAGGATAGGAGGGGCTGGAGTGATAGCACAGCGGGTTGGGTGTTTGCCTTGCACGCGGCCGACCCGGGTTCAATTCCCAGCATCCCATACGGTCCCCCGAGCACCGCCAGGAGTAATTCCTGAGTGCAGAGCCAGGAGTAACCCCTGTGCATCCCTGGGTGACCCAAAAAGCAAAAAGAAAAAAAAAGTGAGGATAGGAGAATTAAGGAAATTTTAAGGGAAAACCTGAATTGGTCTCTAGAAGTATAAGTGTGTATTTTAGGGACTTGAGCAATAGTATACAAGTAGGGTGCTTGCTTTCCACGCAGCAGACCTGGGTTCCATCTCTGTCACCCCATATGGTTCCCCAGGTCCCCACCAGGAGTGATCCTGATTTCAGAACCAGGAGTAAACCCTGAGCACCACCAGTGGTGGCCCCAAAACAAAAAGTGTATTTTATCCTAAAAATGGAATTTAGGCTCTATGTTAGAAAATATCGTGTTATAGGTAACCCTTAGTTATCTGTATTAAGTAAAATATTATAATAAAAATCTCTCTAGCTATAAAAAATTACCTAAATAGCTATAGAACATTCAATATAAATAAAAATCGAATTTGTTATTGAAAAATTGTATAGAGGGCAACCATAAGTGCTAAGAGTGAAGGCCCTACCAATGGCGAAGTGCTGAGAAATTTTTTTGTCTTTCAAGAAGCCCCTTTAATGCTTGCAAAATTGGTTTCAGGGTTTGAAACCCTAAGCTCTTGTCTGTACATGAAGTTCTATGATACACCTTCAAAACTGAATGATGGTTCATCTGGAGTATTCTCGGTGAGATGTTTATTTCACTGTTTCCTTTTTACTCTGTCCCACCATTCTCTCCTGCTCAGAGTCTCTTTTGATAGATCGTAAATGGCAATCCCCCGCTTTTTGCAGCTGACTAGGATTCCACTACAGAAAAGTCCCTCATTGCTTTCATCCACTCATCCATCGGGGGCCTCTTCCGTTATGTTGCAGTGAACATTGGGTGCATATAATTTTTTCTGTCATATTTTTATATTCTCTGGCTAGATACCAAGCAGTGGATATTACAAATATGGTAGTTTGTATGGTAACTCTTAGTTTCCTGAGGTGCTTTCACACTGAATTTTGTTTCTTTTGGCTTTGGGGGCCACACCCAGCAGTGCTTGGAAGGGCTACTCATGCCTGGTGCTGGGAGGGGAGGGGATGCTCCCAGCAGTGCTCGGGGAACTGTGGGTGCTGGGCATGCAAAGCCTGTGCCCTAACCTTTTGAGCTGTCCCCTCTCCCAAAGTATGGTGTTTCCCGAAAAGATTGTACTGATTTATATTTCCCTCCTTTAAAAAGGTGGTAGGAGGGCGTCTACTTGGAGGTGGTTAGATAGGAACTTTGTAGAATCATTCTATTTTTCCCTTTTTGGGAAAAGGGATGCTCAGGGGTTAGTTACTCCTGGCTCTGCATTCAGAAATTACTCCTGGCAGTGCTGGGGAACCATATGGGATGCCAGGGACCATGCCCAGGTCAGCCACATGCAAGGCAAATGCCCTCCCCGCTGTACTATTGCTCCAGCCCCCTTTGTGTAATCATTGAGAAAGTTGCAAATCATACAAGATTGTGTGGTGTCCAAGGGTCTTTGATAAAATCTATTGTAATTTAATCTGTTTCTGAACCCAAGCCTCCATACCCAGTAAAAAATTTTGAGTCCTGATGACTAGTGGCTATTACTCTCATCGCCATAGTTCCTTCATTTGAAGGTCCCCTCTGTTGTAAAAATGCACCATTAATGTGGTCATCATTTCCAGGAGGAAAGAAACCCATATCAGAGTCATTCTACACATTGCATCTTGAGTGTATTATTTCAGAAATACTGAAATGTGGTGGCGGGGGAGGACATCTTAGAATTGAGGAATTGGGTAGCATAATCAGGAGTTATGTACTCTATAACCCTTACCTTCGTAGAAAAAGATGGTAATTTGGTGAAGCGGTACTGTGTTCAATCAAAAGTAATTTCAAGGATGCAGTCTCTTCACCGTTGTGTCCAGAGAATCAAAAGGGAGGATGTGAAAATGCCTCCAGGCAGAAAGTGATGGATGCTGTGAAGTCCTGGGTCCTAATGAGAAATCTCAGAGCCCCGACATGAAGACGCCCACTCCAGCGATGAAGGGGACCCAGAACCGCGCCAGCTGGCCACGCCCTTTAAAGGGACCAGCTTCCTGCATGATAGCCAAACTCATTCTCCCATCTTGCTTCTATTACAAATTTTGTAATATTTTAAATAAGATGTCAATTTTCTATAATACATTTAATACAATGGAGTCCTGGTAGAGCACTGCCTTGGAGGCTGCTCGGGATTTCAGCTCTCAGCCTTGTGCTTCTAGGCCGGTGCTTTAAGCCGCTGCGCCGTTTTCTGGGTCCACCAGTGCATTTTGTAGACCCTCAGTGATCCAGTTTAAGGGTTTATTCCATGTGCTGTGTGCCGTGTCGGTGAATTTATCTCTCCGTTTATCTGCCCCGGTCACTCGGCCCCTGTCTCTTTCTGCTGGGATATTTCCCTTCACAGGGCCGTCTCTTAAAGTCTTAGGGGACCTCAGGCCCTGGCCAAGTTTCCTTCTCCTCTGTAAAGTCTTTTTTCCCCTCTTTGGAAAGTAGAAAAGAAAAGAAAAGGAGCTCTGGAGGAACTTCATATAGGACTGCGTTCTCCTCCATAAAGATTTAGCACGGAACTGATGGGCCCTGTGCACGTTTCCCTTGTCTTACTCAATGATCTGTGTCTTATAATGTAGACTGTATTTCCCCTAAAGATTTCAGTATTTTAATGTCAGTGCCGATTTTATATGCTCTTCTATCTCCCTTCTACCTTGTCGGGACGCAATGAAACTTTCAATGAAAGCATGGGATTTTTCTAGAGGTCTTCAGGTGGTGAACATATTCATTGGGTAGGGGTGCCACACCAGAAGTTCACACACAGTGGCTTAGGCAACAGGGATTTCTTCTCTTTTGTTCTGGGGCCACTCCCCATGGTTCTTAGGACTTACTCCTAGTCTGTGCTCAAGGATCACTCCTGGTGGTGCTCAGGGGACCAAATCAGGGTTGGCCACATGCAGGGCAAGCAAGGGCTTGACCCTGTCCTGGCTTTTGGGCCCCAGGCATTGATTCTCTGTTTGGGAACCTGGACTGACAACACCCGGCGTTGCCAGGGGCATTTCTTGTGTGGCCTCTCATTGTTTGCAGACAGTGGCCCTTGGGGTCTCTCCTCCCTGCATGCACACCCATGGTCTCTGGCCACATCTCGGGAGAGGAGGATCCCCTAAGAATGGGTCCCTCAGGAGGATCCCCACTGATAACCTGATGTGACCTCTACCTTCAGCTTCCTTCTGAGGTCCTGTGCTTGGGGTTCAGCCTATCAATTTGATAGGACACATTAAAAAAAATTTTTTTTTTTCTTTTAAAGGGCTGGAGCAATAGCACAGTGGGTAAGGTGTTTGCCTTGCACGCAGCCAACATGGCTGTCCCGAGTTTGATTCCTCCGCCCCTCTCGGAGAGCCGGCAAGCTACCTAGAGCATCTCGCCCACGTGGCAAAGCCTGGCAAGCTACCCGTGACATATTCAATATGCCAAACACAGTAGCAAATCTCACAATGTTACTGGGCCCGCTTGAGCAAATCGATGAACAATGGGAGGACTGTGACTGTCATTTCTTTTAAATTAAAGAGCCAGGATTGGGCTGGAGTGATAACATAGCGGGTAGGGCGTTTTCTTTGCACGCGGCCGACCCGGGTTCGATTCCCAACATCCCATATAGTCCCCCGAGCACCACCAGGGGTAATTCCTAAGTGCAGAGCCAGGAGTAAACCCCTGTGCATTGCTGGGTGTGACCCAAAAAAGAAAAAAAAAAGTTGAGAAGCATGACTCAAGGACAGAAACTGAGGAAGTACCTTCATCCCCAAAGGTTGCCTGGGAGTTCTGTGCCCTAAAGCCCAGGGCCTAGCAAGTTCTTTACAAAACATGATTTCCTGTAGAAATGTATCAATAATTGTGGCTTTCTTCTATGTTAAAATAAATTTAAATACTAAAAAATAAGGGGCTGGAGAGATAGCACAGCAGGTAGGACGTTTGCCTTGCACGCGTCCAACCCGGGTTCGATTCCCAGCGTCCCATATGGTTCCCTGAGCACCACCAGGAGTAACAACTGAGTGCAAAGCCAGGAGT